CAGCCTGGACTACCAAGTGAGTCCCAGGAAAGGCGCAAAGCTACACCGAGAAACCCTGTCTCGAAAAACGAAAAAAAAAAAAAAATCTACCAGCAATTATACTTCAACATTTAAAAAAAAAAAAACTTACTGATAATTAGGCATCTAGGTTCTTGAAACAGAAACAAAGCATGTAGGATTCGAGACTTGACAGTCTGATGTTCTAAAGAAAAGAAAAAGAAAAAGCCAAATTCATTAGCAAGCAATTTTAACTTTCTTTTCTTTTTTTAATTGTAAAAACTAAAGCCAGACTACCTACCATATGGAGAAATCATCTGGTAAGGAGAAAGAAGAAAAAGGTATCCTCGGTCTCCTAAAGGTTTTACAAGAACCTGCAGTTTGGAGAGGCAGAAGAGGTATATTCACCATATTATTACTACTACTTTAAAGTAGACACAACACTTGGTACTAAGTATAAAGAAGTATAATCATTTTTTTAAAGAAAATAATGCGGCCAGGCGGTGGTAGCGCACGCATTTAATCCTAGCACTTGGCAGGCGGATCTCTGTGAGTTCAAGGCCAGCCTGATCTACAGAGCGAGATAAAGGACAGGCACCAAAACTACAGAGAAACCTTGTCTCGAAACAATAACAACAAAAAACCCCAAAAAAACAAAAAACCAAACTAACCATTAAGAAGATCTCAATCAAGTGAAAATTTATGTTCATAATATACTGAGAACGTTCTTGAAATAATTAGTTAGCTGTGAAAAATAACTTGATGCTAAAATATACAGATTTCTAATACTTATCAGTGCAAAAGACATTAAAAGCATGCTGTACACTGTATATAATAAAGCATGCTTTGAAATAACTGCCTATGAAAATTCAAGATAGTGTTCAATGAAATGTTGCTAGAATCTAATCTTAGTTATATTGAGTATCATTCATATTACATAATTTTACCTGCCAGAGATTACCTGAAGTCTCTCAACTACGTAGAGAAATTACCACACAAAATAGCAGTAATTAGAAAAGACAGAAAACTCCCCCAAAGATTTAAAAAGCAGGAAAGACGGCTCCACAGTGAAGGTCACTTGCCTCTTTTGCAGAGCCCACAGTTGGCTCCTAACACCTATACAGAGGCTCACGGTCTTTTGTAACCCCAGTTCCTGGGGAATTCCTCCCTGGGAGGCAAGGGCCTCCATAAGCACATACAATAAATCTTAAGAAAAATTTACAGGGCAGTAAGAATGGAAAAGTTTTAGTGTTTTCTTTCACTGATGAATCTATTTCTTCTACCATATCTTCAATGCCAGAGATCCTCTCTTCCATCTCTTGCATTCTGTTGGTTATACTCGCATCTGGAGTTCCCGATCGTTTACTCAGATTTTCTATTTCCAGCATTCCCTCTGTTTGTGTCTTCTTCATTTTTTCTATTTCCCTTTTCAGGTCTTGGACTGTTTCCTTCATTTGTTTCATTGCTTTTTCATGATTTTCTTTCAGTGCTTTATTGTTTTCTTCCAGGACTTTATTTTTTTCTACTTTATTTGTCCTTTCCTCTAGTTTTTTTTTTTTTTTTTTTTT